GTAGTTCCGATGTTGTTCCCGATTTCGTCAGAATACAAGAGCTTACGCTGTTTCAGAAATATGTTTGTTTATGTNCGCTGTTTCAGAAATATGTTTGTTTATGTTATGAGAAATTCATAAAGGTGGGCTTTTTGACTGACAACAACTCACACACGAGAAGCTGGCGGCTTTGAATGGAAAATAGGTGAGAATAATTTATGACCCACGTTTATGGTTATCAGGAAGTCCGAACATTATAGGCGTGCGTTTTTTCACGAGTTGTGCCACTAAAACGGAGGGGAGCACATTTTCTTTCGAGAAAATGACGAACTTTTTGAACATCATAGTAGAAGCGTACTGTTTATAATAGTCTACTTTCTTATTTACACAGATAATAATTGAACCTCGGAAATAAACCTTAAGGAGAATTGCGGTGATCATTATTCGGTATGTTTTAGAAGATACGCCATACTCAAGCAAAGAATTAATCCATAAACTTGGGAACAATCCACCTTAGAATCGATCTCCATCTGTGTACACTACACGACACAAAGTGGCACATTTTTAGCCCGAAATGTGTGAAACAATAGTTCCCACAGAAAAATCTGACCGAATTGAGTTTGACTGTGTTGTTGCAAGTTGCAAGTTCATCCGACTTAGACCGATATGTAAGTACGAATCAGTCAGTTTTTTTAAAACAATCAATAAACTCCAATCTACGAAATTCTGGTGGTCTAACAGTGCTTAGCAAAGCGCAGTCAAAGAAAAGTAAAACCCCGAATCCTAGAAAGAAAATAACTTTGCTTTACTCAACCAGACAGAAAATTAGTCACGGTCATCATTTTATTCGAACGGACCGTGGAAATGCACAGTTTTATTTCGTCATCTAAACTAACTAATGACGCGTAAAATGACGTCATTAGCCTTGTCGGTATGACCTTGCGATTGGGTGAACTTTTGTGAAGAATAAACCAAAAAACCCTACTCCCGGGGAAGACAGTTTTTGTAACTATCATCATAAATTCCATGATTGTCGGAAGTCAATTTGAAAAGAGGGAAAACTCTGAATACTGTGAGAAATTCTGATCAGATATTCCTCCTAAAAATAGAACATAACAGGGACACTGACTGTTAAAACCGAATGATTGGATGTGAACATTTTAAATGGATCTCTTCAGTTGCTCATAATATTGTCCTTCGTTCGAGTAGGTTGACACGCAAAATCTCCCATCGTTAATTTAACCTCGTAACCTTGTTTCCCACACGAGCACGAATTGAGGCACATACTGAACGGGGTCGTTTCCGCATTATTTCAGGAGATGATAAATTAATATCTTTCTCAAATGAATAAACAGTATAAAAGGGTTGTGGTTGTTTTACAAAGGGTGTGGTTACCTCTGCTGCGGACTTGAAATGTAGCTGTGACGGTTTTCGTCATGAATAAAAATTGTTTTTATATGCCCAATGAAACACGGCTCCGTTGAAACAGGAATATGGCTCACTGCAATTCGTGAATCTGTGCATACTCAAGGATTCATATTGACCGCATGGTCATTCGCAGGAATGTTCGTGAAAATTCGTCAATGTTTCGAATACTTTGAAGCTCTTTACGGTTGCACATCACCGAGCAACAAGTTGTATAGATCTAACACACTAGCATTCATCGATATTTCTATCTTTATATTCCTTGTAGGTTTCTGTTTCCTCATGCAGATTAGGCAAGTGACTTTTGAGCGAATGAGAATGAACAAGATGGTAATATTATAGTCATCCTTAGTGTGGAGAACCGGGGTATGTGTTGCTTTCATTAGTGCATATGTTTACGATTCGCGGTTACTGGTGGCACAGTTCCAAACGAAGTAGGCGGCAGATAGATGGAGCACAAATACTCATAGTGACTCTACTGACATAAGTGTAGGCCATTGGGCTGAAGATTAATTCAGTCAATATGCAGCAAGAGATCTTGGTAAGCACCCACTCAGATAAATTCATCATTTATGGTACACATTTTGTTCCTTTCCCGCCAAGTCAGTGTATAACTGTTTTTTTCAATTGGACTTCTTGTGTTGAGTGACTATACACTTACACCCAGTTCTCACGTGTCATTATTATGAATATTCCTCGTCATAATTTTCATTTCGTAGGTGGAAATGGTACTAACATAAACTGGATCAAAATAAATTGCAGATACAATTTCTAGGAAATGGCAGCCTTGCGTTGCCTCCCGATCATATAGTGAAAACTTATGATCACAAAATGAATGTTGACATATTGTTTACAGGAGAGGTTAATTAGTTTACTTTTAATCCGTATTACCAAAATTGTAAGCAAATCGCACCCATAAACAAGTTTGATTTCGATCTTTCATCCAATATTTGGCAAATTACATTTCACTATTTTATCCAAATGGGCAACCAAAAGACAGCAACCAAAATCTGTGCACGAAAGTGCATGGTTAATGGTTGTAAAACTGAAATGAACTGAAATTGCATTTCATATCTTCATGCTAGTGACCTTGTTTGGTGACCGAGAATTATTCAATGGGTAATGACCCAAAAATCCTTATTTGGTCTGAAGAAAAATATCAAAATGGATTCTCACCTTATTCTGGTTTGTATCGTCAATACTTGTTGTTCACAACTGAGAAAATAACAGAGTAATCCGTTTCCTTTTTCCTTTCTAGAACTGAACTACTGATTGCACAGCTTGACTAACTTTTCCACTATCACATTCTCTAAATACTGCGTTGAATAGTTCCGTTTGGATGAAATGCGAAATGCTTACGGGCGGCATCCATCCAGTCACTTCCTTCTCCACAGTGAACGTAATGTGTGAATGGGCTCAGTCACACATTGTTGCATTCATGTGATGATGAAAACGTAGATATTCTTCATTGACATTTAATTCCGAACATTCGGAAGCATTGCTCACATCCAGATTGTCCTTACCCTAACAACCCAACCAAGTGCTCGTCTTGAAATGGTTTTCGATTAGGCCACAGGAGTGTTTCACCTACCCATTGTCCTTTGGTAAGCGTCATCTGCTGCCGCTTCTGCGTACAGACTAGACCGAACGGTGCATCTGTGTATGATGATCTCATCTGGCTAAAATACACAATCATAAATTTCGTTGAACGATATTCATCCACTAGTCTAGCCAATAAAACAGGTATTGCCTANTGGTCGAATCAATCAGCAAGGAGCAACGCAACAATTCTGGTTTTAGTACAGTGAGCCGCTTATAATGCTGGCTGATAAGTGCATTTCACAGTACGTGAATCGATTGGAGCCTCTTATGACAGGCATGAGCTGTCACTTAGGGTTTGACCGAAAACTGCTCATATGATCTTGACCCTCATTGGGTAAAGCGAGTGTATCGGCTGGTTTCAATAAATATCTGCATATATAAACAAAGCCTGTGGGTTGTTTTCTCAAACGGTCAAAATAACCGTTATCTGGCAATTGAGGGACATAAGAATGTACTGCTTGTAGAATGAACAATGCCGAAATCAAGGTTGAGCAAATACTTGAATAACAAATTTAAGGATATCTATGAAAACCGACAGCGTGAGATCTCATCGGAAATTAGTTGACCGCGGTGGACAGAAGAAAAGAAATTCGAAAATGGCTTTTAAGTCATCCTGTACCTTTCATAACTTATGATATTCCGGTATACACCCAGAATGTATATGTACAAAGTTGATATTCCCGTTAACAATGTTAACAACATCTTGCTAGTTACGCTGATGAGACTGTGGAGTAAAGAACTGATCCAACTGACAGTAACAGACGGTAGCTCAAATTTAGGTCACTCTTTCGGCTTATTGCTCGCCTGCTCGCCAGCAAGGCAAATTCCCTCAGGTTTGACGCGACGCAACAAACGGTTCGCTGTGAACGTCAGAATGGCGTTCAATAGCCTCACCAAATAGACAAGGCGCCTGTTTCGAAGCCCAATCGTTCTACAACTTGGCTATGCCTTGAATATGGTAAGACCATATCCTAAGTCGACATCGGGACCTACTGAATTGAACTTACCCAGTCTTAAGAAACTGAACATACTAAAAATCGGTTTTGAGTTGGCCTGATGATGTTTGCTCTCCAATTTATTAGAAGCAATCCGGTTCGGAATCTAGGCAAGATATGGTATAATGGGGCTGACTACCGATCAAGCCACTCGAAAGTCAGACCAGAGAACAAGAAAGTCAAGCACTTGAAAGGGCTAAGTCGACCAATTCGAGCCACTCAGTTCATGAAGGGATTGTTTGTTGCTAATGTAGGTACAAATTTCTCAGTGGATACGGGGTAAACACGAGTCAACTGGTCAAACGAAAGTTCAGAAGCAAGCAGAGAAATCCGTACGGAAAAATTTGACATAAAGCCTGATATGGAATGGTTCTTGTTCAGTTTCACGAGTATGGATCAAAGAAAGATTTGCTGGTTGTTTAATTAAAAAACGGGAGAGCCTGAGATGACGGAAAAGAATAAATGCACGAGTATCAACAGTTGTAGGATTATTGTTTTCAACATTAACTAAAGTGCATCAGATGAGTACTGGTCAAGCAGTTTATTGAGAAGTGAATATGATACGGTCCAGGAGCGATGATCAAGCAGCGATGCATATAAACATCAACTACAATGTCTAAGAGATGGCGGTCGAACGGGACACTATGGTATAAATGTGGGTGAATATTGAATGAATAGGCGTGATGCATTTCTCCAAAGACGCTTGGTGTTTACAATCTAAACGTTCGCATGTAATCGTCAAAGAACATATTTTGTCTTCAAATTTGAAGGCAATAGTTACAATTGTTGCTTTTCGGTTCCATATATTATTTTAGGTTGGGTCATCTGTCAGACATGTGGACAACTCTCTAACTATCAGTCGTCCCTAAACAGTTCCACAACGCAATTCAAACCCAGATGGTAAAGCCACTTTAAAATAATTCTAACAAGATTTTATACCTTCCACTTATCTTTCAATAATTGGAATTTTGCAAAGACTATTCATTTTGGTGAACTTACTTGGTCACTGCACAATAGCTCTTCTTCCGCAATACGCCGCAAAGTCTCCGCGATACGACGTTTCGGATCATCCATTCAAAGATCTATTCACAATTGGCATTGGTGTCCAGTTCAACCCACTCTTTGAGGTCACTCTGTTCTGGTGCGGTGTACTTTGTTTTTTGACTCTGCTGCGACCGACAATCAGAATATCACGTGACGAATGCTGAGAGGGCAGAAACGCAAAAATGGAACCGATCTATTTTATATCGTTTCAATGCAATGAGTACTCATGAGTAGCCTAATTGTCGTTTTGCGAAAACGGTGGGTAAGCCGACTTAGAGAGCTGTTCCTCGTTCCGGGAGATCAACTTCTGTTTGTTGTCCGAAACGGTTTCTCTGAAATCTGCTGTGATTCACTCGTTTAACACCCGGAATCCCAGACTGGCTTCGTAAACCAAACAACAAAGTTATTCTCATAAGTAAGGCGTTATGATCTCACTTATTCTGTAACCAGAAAAGCAGTACCTTTATTATTTTATTTAAAATTGACAGTAGAAAAGGTTAAATGTGATCGTTGCAATTAGTGTGAAGCTCATAACGCTTACATAGCTTTCAAAGCTTACAAAGCTGCCAGATCTCACGCTTGAGATCTGGTTGACATTACACAATGCGCTGCTTAACGTGACCAGTACTGAATCGTGCCTGGTGTTGAGCTGCGGGTCGAAAATCGATCATTCACGACCTGAGTCGATCTAAAGTCTGTCACGCGTCGAGTGCAAACGAGATTTATTGGACTGTTATCAGGAAACGATGGGCAAGGGTGAGGGAGATCAGCTAGGTAGCACACTTTCGTTGATGTCACGTTTCTCGAGTTACTTAACATCGAGTGAGAATTGGATCAACAAATGACACACGGATCATGGATAGGGGTCGGAAATGGTTCGGTTTCTCTGGTCAACATTTGTTCATTTTGTATTGTTGGTGAAGCGCTAAATAGGTAAGAAGTAAAAAACGAAGTCACAGCATATTTTTGAATAAGGATACCGAATCACTACTGGTTGTCAATTCAAACAGTCAGTGGTACTGTGTGATGGTCAATAGAGAGCACTGAACCACTATTCTAACCTTTTTAAACTCGTAGTTGGTCAGTCCGTTTTGTGTTCCTGTGGCGACTCAAATTTGAAACCTTCGGATTGAGAGCTAAGACACTTACCCTAATCCACATGATCAGCGATTGACCACAAAAATTGTGTCAATTTTAGCCACCCGATTGACGAACTACTCAGAAGTGAAACCCACAATAACTAAAACATGAGGATCATTAACAGTATTAAGTGCTGATGGAAAATCAAAAGAGGTTATCCAAAAGCTATGGGAACTTACTCAATAGGTCTCAGTGAAATCAGTACACTTAATTTTAGCTTCGCCAATGGTGTTCATCGAGGAACGAACATTCACAGTTCGGAAAAGTAATTTCCCATCAGGCTTGTACCGAAGCAATCAGTACACCGTAGAATTCATTTTCCCGATTCACAAATGGCTCAAACTTATTAAAATATGTTCGTATGACTGGCATTGATCTACACAGTTGATGGCTCTCATTAATCAATGCAGTAAGTAAGATCAGCCATGTTTATTGTGCTCCTGATGTATTTCCGTTCGATTCCTAACAAAACACTAGGGCGTTTTTGCGTGCAATGCGCATCATCCAGTCGGGCATGAGAAGAATTCTCTCAGCAGTGATCAGCATATCAATTTCTAAAGAGCAAAGATTCTTTGGTCATTACTCGAATCGCTTCCTGAATTGAGTGACTGCCACAATCAGATGAAGCGACAGATTGAGAGAGAGAGAGAGCGCGTCAAAACGATCGAAAACAACAATAACACTGACCGATATTCACTGCCTGTTGATGGTGAACAAGGAGCGAATGCATTCAGACAGATTTTATTCGTGTAGCATATGATGGTGACTGAACTGAGATCAAGGCTACAAAGAATATCTTAAAACACGATCAGCCAGGTGAGGAAAGCGAGCAGAAGTTGAGCGTAAATAAATGGAGGGAGGTAAANTTAATTAAACAACCAGATGATGTTCCATCGCATCAGTTGTATTATTTCCTTTTAGTAAAGTAATTCGGTAAAATGCAAGTATGCTTTCTTTTTTCGAAAAAAAATCTCAAGAAGTCCATGTTGTCTGAGCAGAGGAATAGAGAGGAATGTCCTGCAGTGATCGTAAAAAAAATTAATGTCTTCACGAAACTAAACGAGGGAGACGTTTACATCCTAGGTACATACGTCTACATGTCCCTTATGCTTTTGACTCGTGAAAAAATTCCAGTTTGATTGTCCTATTCTGTATACTTATTTACCAGAGCAGAGGCCTATAAAAAGGAATTTCTCAAACGCTAAACAACAAAAAATAAAAAGTGACCGTTCCACCTCTAACTTGATCCCTCCCAACAGTGTATGTCAACAACAAGTGAAATCAACTGTGGGAAATTAGTATTTTGAAGACATAATTCATAGTTCTTTAAACATAAAGCCGATTACATGGATGCCAATGTACTAAAGTTTATTTCGTAAAATAACAAACATTCTTCTTAACATCGTGGTTTAGTGAACCGTACTCCTGACGGTGAGGGGGACCTGCTACTCTTCAAATAACACGTAACCATCCCCAAACAGAGATGTGGAAAACAGATCTCAATTGATTTAAGTTTCATGGTGAAAATATGAACACACAGACATCTACTAGATCGTACTGAGTGAACATAGAGTTGAGCAAATTTTCTAGATTTTTACGCGGTAGATAATTGTGACACAAGAACAGTGGAGAATTCGATTTGAAGTTATATGAGGGATTCCTTCACGTGGTGCCCGCATCAAGTTCGAAGAGGATGGGTTCGGCTATGTCGTGTAAAGACAAAATGAAAAGCTGTTTGCGCGCGAGGGTAGTAAGCTGCAGTCCTACCTGTGAGGCCCTGGGTCCGATCGCACTTGGGCCAACTAGTTCGCACTGCTGATGAAACACAATCAGATCCAGCCAGCTGTGAAATGCTTCTTACTTCTCAGTTCACGGTTCATTCGCTGTTTACACGACTAAATCAACCATAAAATAATATCTCGTGGTGGCCAAAACGCCATGAAGGTTGTTTCGTTCTTGTTGTGACAAAGTCATTAGTGTGTATTTTGGATGCACTTTTTGGTACTCGAAACGCGCTCCATTCCATCCCTGGGGTTTGAATTTACCCCTGACTTATAACACTGTCAGTCANNNCCTTTTATTTCAATTACAATCTTTCGGCTAACCCCTCGGATTTCTCGGATATAACAACAAAGAAAGTGGGCCACAAACGCAATGGAAATCGAATGAGCCCGACCGAAAGTAACTGCCTGAATTTCCTAATTTATCCTAAAAATGTACAACGCCCCAAGAGAACTGGTTGAAAACATGTTTTGTTACGATAGTCGACTTTAAGTTGTTCACACCTAGTCCAAGTTACTTACATTGTGAGTGTGAGTTATACCCCCAACCCTGTGATGTGTTTTGGCCGCCGAATCCGAAAAAAATGATACCTTGACCAAACCTGGTTTGGTATTAATCTCTCCCCATATACCACTCCACTCATGATTTACGCAAACTCACAGAGAATCTCGTAGCCTTCGCTTTCACAACCAACTTTGGAATCTTCAGACCTATTCCCCATGTTGACATCACAGTGGAGAAAGAATCTTAACCATAAGGTTCACCGTATTATGTTGGTGGAAAGCATACGGGGAAAAATTCCTTTTGGTTCTCACTTGGCCGTTTATTCTAAAAACAACTCTATACGAATTATGATATTACTTAAATAATCTCTGTATAAACAGCAAATGAATTGCAAAGCTAAAAGTAAGCATTGCACCACTTTCTTAAATTTTTCAAGTTCCATCAGCGTTGTGAATCCGTCTAATTTTACCCGGAACACAAACCAGAGAAAACCACTGAATAACTTAGGATTGTCCATGGAAAAGACCTCTGTATGGTAATCTAAGTCATTAACACATCCAACCTAGTTCAGTGGAAATCACTAAAAGCAGGCTATTTCACTAAACTTCAGTTTCCTCTGCGTTATTTGGTTGAGATTTCTTTGATGTGTGCAAAAGCCACAGGACCGTTTTGATTGGTTGATGATTATGATAATAATAATAATAATAATAATATTAATGAGGAGGAGGATAACGATGATGGTTTACAGAAGCAGATGGTACGAACAAGAGCAAGGCTACGTCATGTAGGCGATCTTGTTAGCTCTAAACACTGCTGTAAATCGCACACCGACTGACTTGGAGTTGAAAGATAGTCTAGCATCGTCAATTGATTTCTATCGTCCTTAACAATTCCATCTTAGTAAACTAAGCGATAGTTCGTATACTTAGTACTCATATAAAGTCGTGCACAAATAACAAAAGCAACCCTGATTTTTATGTGGAGTTTTGCGAGTATAATGCCATTAAAGAACTTGATTTTTGTTTGTTCTAACTGGATTGGAACATATTAATCGTTAATTGTTTTAGTAGGTATTAATTAGTGCATCAATGGCTTTCAGCCCCAGGGCAAACTTTCCTTATAAACCGCTTTCCAGTAGTCTAACTACCCCCATTGATGAAATTATTGTCAGTCTCTTAGTCGTTCTTACGAAAGAATCCGGTGGTACTTCAAAACACGGAATATGCCCATTGATTAGGAACTTAATGTAGGCGAACACATGTTTTCGATGAATTCCTTTTCAAGCCTTTACAATCACATTTATATGAAACAATTTCAATGCGGTCAAACAGAAAAAGTCGATGAGTCTTGTGTTTCGCACTGAGCTCAAGTGAACTCCAAGTGTGTGCGCTGTTTTGAGTACACAACCATAGTCGTTACCTCATGGTGTTACCTCAGGGTCGTGTGAACAAGCGATTTTCTCTTCCCCCGGCCAGGGGAGTTTGAGAGCTTGAATCAGTTCGCGTTGTGCGCACAGCTTAGGCTTCATGAGTCGGATGCTGATCGCCTCTGCGGTTGCTAGCGTCTGAAACCGTATTGCTCTTGAGGGGTGTGATGAAACCCGA